AGAGGCAGTACCAGACCAAGTTAGAGGCCCAAACCTACTAAACAGACTCCCGCTGCCTATAACCAGGCCTAAGCGACATTACAGGATACAAAATGAAGCAGTGCAAGATAGCTGACAAAGACACATCCTCCCTGACGGGCTCAATGTTTTCTATGCTCAGTTTGAGCAGATGCCAGTGGCGCATTCATACTTGCCCCGACAACCCCAGACACACTGTTCCCTCCATCACCATTTCAGATGTCAGATCGGTCTTCCTAGGAGTCAATCCAAGGAAAGCGATGGGTCTGGACAGTGTCCCCAGCCGAGCACTCAGATCCTGTGCGGACCAACTGGTGGAGGTATTCACCAACATCTTCAACTCCTCCTCCTACAAGCTGAAGTCCCCATTTGCTTCAAGAAGACCACCATCATCCCCATACCTAAGAAAGCACATGCAATGTGCCTTGTAACACCTGTTACATATAATTCCACAGTTTAAAAATAAGTCACTCAACTGACCACGTTTAAATCAGAAAAAGAACCTTGAAACCAGAGCAACTCCATTTTACAAAAACTGTCCCGCATCCCTGTTCACAGTGTCTCAAGACATTTTGCTATTCTTTCATGCAACATGGGCATCACTGGCAGGGCCTTAGGAACAGAGATGATAAGCTGCCTCTATGAACCGCTACAGCCCATCTGGTACTGGTACACTCTCACTTCCTTTAAAAAGAGAATTCCAGGATTTTCATCTGACAATAGTGAAGGAACAGCCTTTTAATTCTAAGTCAGGACGATGTGCAATAATCTTCCAGGTGGTACTCTCATGCATTTCCTGTCCTTGTCCTCCTAGGTGGTAGAGATGAAAGTTTGGAAGGAGCTGTTTAAGGTGCTCTGGTATATTGCTGCAGTGCATCTTGTAGACAGTACACATTATTTCTGCTGTGCACAAGATGTGGAGAACTGATGTTTAAGCTACAGAATGGATTTCCAATCAAGGGGAATGCATTGTCCCAGGTGGCATTGAGCATTTTTTGAGTGTTGTTGCAGATAGATGTTTCCAGGCAACTAAAGGGTATTCCACCAAACTCCAGACTTGTTTACTGTAGATGGTAAACAGTCCTTTGACATCAGAATTCCTAAATTCCTAGCCTCTAATCTGCTCTTGTAGCCACAGTATTTACATGGCTGATCAAGTTCAGTTACTGGTCAATAGTAACCCACAGGATGTTGCTAATGGGAAATTGAGTGATTGTAATGGCATTGCATGTTAAGAGATAATTAGATTCTCTCTTGCTGGAGATGGTCGTTATCTGGCACTCGCGTGTCATGAATATTACTTTCAACTTTTCAGGCAAAGCAAATATTGTCCGTGTCTCACTGCAAATGAAAATGGACTGCTTCTGTATTTGAGGAGTTGTAAGTGGTACAAAACATGTGCAAGCATCAACAAACATCCTCCTTTCTGACCTTATGAATATTATTCATGAAGCAGCTGAAAATGGGTATGCCAAAAACACCAGCCTGAGGAACTTCTGCAGGAATGTCCTAGGACTGAGATAGTTCTGGGTGTTGGAGTCCTTTGTACTAGGAATGATTCTAATCAGTAGAGTGTTATCTCTAGATTCCTGTCAACTTGAAATTTTCCACAGGCTTTTAGGATATTAAATTCAATTAAGTTACAGCATATATGGTGAAAGCCAAATTAACAGTCTCTTCATACATTCCACCCTCAAGTGGAATGTATGCACCTAACATTTGGGTCACAAGCACTTACTCTGACTCATCGTCATCTTCCCCTGTTTTCCATAGCACAAGAGGAGACATTCTCTTAGGATTCACGCTGTTCAGTCCACTCAGGATCTCATATGCTTCAAGAAGATCACCTCTCATTCTTCTAAACTCAAATGGATACAGGTCAAACTTATTTGATCTTTCCTTATAAGATAAGCCCCTCATTCCAGGAATCTATCAAGTTAACCTTGTCTGTGCTGCTTCGATGTAATTATCTCCTCTTTTTAGATAAGGCAACCAAAACTGTACAGGGTACTTTAGATGTGCCAGTGCCCTACACAACTATAGCAAATCATCTTTTATATTCCATTCCCTTTGCAATAAACAACATCCTATTTGCCTTCCTAAGCATATTCTGTACTTGAATGGTAATTTTCTGTGATTCATGTACCAGGACACCCAGATTATTTCAAATGTGCAACATGGCAACATGGCGAAGTTCTGAGGAAGGATCATTCGACCCAAAACGTTAACTCTGATTTCTCTCCACAGATGCTGCCAGACCTGCTGGACTTTTCCAGCAATTTCTATTTTTGTCTCTGATTTACAATATCTGCAGTTCTTTCAGTTTTTATTGACCATTATGGCTTGTTGTCATCTTGAGCTGCTGGTGGGCTGGAAAGTTTCTCTTTTTTTTTAAAGTTCACTTATGAGGTGTAGGCATCGCTGGGCCAGTATTTATTGCCATCCCTAGCTGCCCTAGAGAACTGCAGCAGTCCATTTGATGTAGGCAGAGGCCCCACATTACCAGTAGGGAGCGAATTACAAGGTTTTGACACATCAACATTGAAGGAAACGACAATATATCAGCGCAGGATGGTGAGTGGCTTGGTGGGAACTCGAAGGTGAGTTGGTTCCCATTTCTCTGCTGCGCTTGTCCTTCTGGATGTTAGGAGTCGTGGTTTTGAAAAGAGCTGCCTAAGGATCTTTGGCGAATTTCTAGAGCATCTTGTAGATGGAACACAGTGAACATAAGTCATGGACTGAGTGGATGTGGTGCCAATAAAGTAGGCTGCCTTCTCCTGGATGCTGTCAAGATTCTTGAGTCTTGTTGGAGTTATACCCATCGAGGCAAGTGGGGAGTATTCCATCACACTCCTCACTTGAGCTTTGTAGATACTAAACAGGTTTTGGGAAGTCAAGGATGAGTTAGTTGCTACAGTTTCCTAGCCTCTAACCTGCTCTTCACTCCAGTTGAATTTCTGGTCAATGGTAACCCCAGTATGCTGATAAAGGGGGAATTCTGAAGGCAGTGCGATTGGATGTCAAGGAGCAATGGTTAGATTGTCGCTTATTGCAGACTGTCACCATCTGGTAGTTGTGTTGTGTGAATGTTACTTGCCACCTTTCAGCCCAAGCTGGGATATTGTCCTGGTTGCTGCATTTGGACATGGACTGCTTCAGTATCAGAGGAGTCGCAAATTATACAATTATCCATGACCAAAGCCACTTCTGATCTAAAGTCAGAGGGAAGATCATTGATGAAGCAACTGAAGATGGTTTGTCCTAGTAAGCCATTCATATCTAAAGTGTTAAAGTGTTAAAAAACAGAAACAAAACAGAACAGACCTTCTGGCATCAACTTAAGCAACAGGAACAGCCACGGAAAACTCAGACCTGTTGACCCTGCAAAATCGTCCTTACATCTGTTCAGTCCTCTCAGTATTTTGTAAATTTCAATTGATCCCCCACTCATTCTTCAAGCTCCATCAAGCATAGATTCAGAGTCTGCAACTGGTCCTTGAATGACAAGCCCTTCCTCCCCCGGATCATTCTTGTTAAGCCCCCTCTGGTCCCTCTCCATTCCAGCACGTCCATCCTTATATACTGGGCCCAAAACTGCTCACAAGATTCCAAATGCAATCTGACCAGAGCCTTATACACCCTCAGCTGCACATCAGTGCTCTTGAATTCTAGCTCTTTCAAAATTAATGCTAACATGCATTTGCTTTCCTAATTGCCAACTGAAGATGAATGTTAAACTTAAGAGATTCCCCCGAATTAGGCCTTGAAAGTCCCTTTGTGCTTCAGAATTCTGAAGCCTTTCCCCAATTAGAAAATAGTCTACACTTGTATTTTGCTACTAAAGTGCATAACCTCACACTTCCCCACAGGGTATTCCATTTGGGCAGTCAGGTGACTCAGTTGTTAGCGCTGCTGACTCAGCACCAGGAACCTGGGTTCAATTCCACCCTTGGGTGACTGTCTGTGGAGCTTGCAGATTCTACCCATGTCTGTGTGGGTTCCCTTTGGGTGCTCTGGTTTCCTCCCACAGTGCAAAGATGTGCTGATTAAGTGGATTGGCCATAAGAAATGCATGGTTACAGGGATTGGGTAGGGGGGTGGGTATGGGTGGGATGCTCTTATGAGGGTCAATGGGCTGAAGGGCCTGCTTCCATACTGTAGGGATTCCATGATTTTACGATCTGTCACTTGTATGGCCATGCTGCTAGCCTGTTGGAGTTCTTCTAGAGCCTCCTCAAGTTCTTAACACTATCTGTCCCTCCACCTATCTTTGTGTCATCTGCAAACTTGGCAACAATGCCCAACGTCCAGATCATTAATGCATACCACAAATAGTTGTGGTCCCAAAACTGACCCCTGCAGAACTTCACTAGTCACCAGCTGCCATCCTGAAAAAGTTCTCTTTGTCTCCACTCTATGCTTTCTGCCAGTCAGCCAATCCTCTATACATGCCAGTACTGTGGCCCTAAGGCAGTGGGCTCTTATTTAGCAGCTTCCTGTGCAGTACCTTGTCAAAGGCCTTCTGGAAATCCAAATTCTGGCTCTCCTTTGTCTAACTTTATCATTACCTGCTCAAAGAATTCTAATAGATTTGACAGGCATGACAGGATTGACAGGCATGATGAATCCATACTTACTCCACTCTATTTTATCATTCACTTGCACGTACTCCACAATTAAAAAAGGATTCTGAAATCTTACCAACAACTGAGATCAGAATATCTGGCCGAGCATTTCCTATCTTCTGCCTCCCCACCTTCCTAAATGGGGGTGGGAGGGTTATACTGGCCATTTTGCATTCCTTTAATACCCTCCCTGACTTCAGTGATTCATGGCAGATCACCACCATTCCTTCCCCAATCTCCTCAACTATATCCCTCAGAACTGTAGGGTGTAGTTTATCCAGTCCATAAGATTTATCCACCTTCAGACCTTTCAACTTCTCCAGAACCTTCTCCTTAACGATGGCCAACTACACTCACCTCTGACCCCTGACCCTTGAAATTCTGGTAAGTTGTTGGTGTCTGCCATTGTGAAGACTGATGTCCAGTACCTATTTAGTTCTACCGCCATTTCTGTTTTCCCTATTGCTACTTCTTCAGCCTCATTTTCCAGTGGTCCAATGTCCATGCTTGCCTCTCTCCTACCTCTCATATCTAAATAAAAACCAAAAGAACTGCGGATGCTATAGATCAGGAACAAAAACAAAGTTGCTGGAAAAGCTCAGCAGGTCTGGCAGCATCTGTGAAGGAGAAAACAGAGTTAATGTTTTGGGTCCGGTGACCCTTCCTCAGAACTGATGGTGGCTGGGAAAACGTCAGTTTATATGCAGAAAATAGGGAGGTGGGTGGGGTAGGGAGTAAATGACAGGATACAGCCCAAAGAGAGAGAAAGACAGTTGGACAGACAAAGGAGTTGCTAACAATCAGGCTGGGAGGGTGAATTGTTGTTCATGGGGACTGTTAATGACTAACAATAGGGGGTGTCTAATGAAAGGCTATGTGGTAACAAGGTCTGGTGTGTGGGGTAGGAGGTTGGAACATGGGAGAGTTTAGGCCCTAAAATTATTGAACTCAACATTGAGTCCGGAGGGCTGCAGGGTCCCCAAGCGGAAAATGAGGTGTTGTTCCTCCAGCTTGCGTTGGGCTTCACTGGAACACTGCAGCAAGCCAGAGACAGAGATGTTGGCCAGGGAGCAGGGTGGTGCATTGAAGTGGCAGGCAACAGGTAGTTCAGTGTCTTTTTTGCGAGAAGAACGTAGATGTTCTGCGAAGCGGTCGCCAAGTCTACGCTTCGTTTCCCCAATGTAGAGGAGACCACATTGTGAGCAGTGAATGCCGTAGACTAGATTCTGGGAAGTGCAGGTGAAGTGTTGCTTCACCTGGAAGATATGTTTGGGCCCTTGGATACTGGGGAGGGAGGAGGTAAATGGGCAGGTGTTGCACCTTCGCCGGTTACAGGGGAAGGTGCCGTAGGGCTGTGGGGAGGTGTTGGGGGTGAAGGAAGTGTGGACCAGGGTGTCCCGGAGGGAACGGTCCCTGCGGAATCTAATATCATATATTCTTATATCTAAATATGCTCTTGCAATCTTCTCTTTATATTATTAGCTACCTTACCGTCATATTTCATCTTCTCTCCCCTTATTACTTTTTTAGTTATCCATGCTAGTTTTTAAAGCCTTCCCACAGATCTTTACCACAGTGTATTCTTTTTCTTTTGCTTTTATACCATCCCTGACTTCCCTTATCAGTCATGGTTGCCTCATCTTCCCCTTAGTACGTTCCTTCTTCATTGGGCTGAATTTCTGTCGTGCCTGTCAAAACAGCCCTAGAAACTCCTGCCATTGCGGCTCCAAAATCTTCCCCCCAGGCTCTCCATCCAATCAGCTCTGGCTAGCTCCTCTCTTACGTCTTTGTAATTACTTTTACTCAATTGTAATACTGTTACATCTGGTTCCAGCTTCTCCTTTTCAAACTGCAGGGTGAATTCTATCATATTATGGTCTTTGCTCCTGAGGGGTTCCTTCACTTTAAGCTCCCTAATCAAGTCTGCTTCACTACACATCAACAAACCCAGACCTGCTTGTTCACTAGTGGGCTCTACCACAAGCTACTCCAAAAACCACTGCGTAGACGTTCCACAAATCCCTTTTCTTGGGATCTTCTACCAACCCAATTTTCCCAGTGCACCTGCATACTGAAGTCCTCCAAGATTATTGTAAAAGTGCCTTTCTAACATGCCTTTTCTATTCCTGATTTATTTTCTGTTCCACATCCTGACTACTGCCAAGAGGCCTGCATACAAGGCCCATCAGGGCTTTTTCTCCTTTTCAGTTTCTCAACTATACCAACACAGATTCTACACTTTCCGACACAATATCATTTCCTGCTATCGATTTAATTTAGTTTCTTACTAACATGACAACACTGTGTCCTTTGCCCATATGTCTTCCCTTTCAACTGGATGTGTATCCTTGGATATTTAGTTCCCAGCCCTGATCTCCTTGTAGCCATGTCACTGTGATACCCACAACATCATTCCAATCTGTGCTACAAGCTCATTTACCTTTTGCAGAGTGCACAAATTTAAGCACAATACTCTCAGTCCTATGTTGAACCCCACCCCTTTTCAGTTATCCTCTTATCTGCTGTGCCTGAAGTTACATTCCTGACCCTTTCCATACACATGTCATATTAATTGTTCTGGAAACCATGATAACCTCTCCTAAGTCCTCTGCTCCTTTACCTAATTTAAAGTCCTTGTGGCCTTGATTTGTAGAATTAGTTCATCTACCTTATTCCAAATGTTTTGTGCATTAAGGTATAAAGTCTTTAATATTTGTTCTAATACCAAGTTTACGTACACCTTTATGGTCCCATGGTACAATATGACATTCACACATTCCGTCCCTTCCTTTTATTTTCTGGTAGCATTGTTGACTAGCTCACTGAGCTGATTTGTTTTTGTTCTGTTTGTTGAACAGAAACAAACCAGCTTGGCGAGCAAGTCAACAACCTCACCCACAACCCGAGCTACAAATCTTTGCTAAAACTTTAAATTTTATGGTAACAACCTACCCCATCACTAACCAGCAATCCTACCTTCTCTTTTAACTTTGACTTTCATAATTTTCCATGCAACTGAGTGCTAACCCCAACTCCACCACTATTTAGTTTAAAGCCCTTTCTATAGCCCTAGTTATGCGATTTGCCACGACTCTAGTCCCAGCACAATTCAGGAGGAGCCAGTCCCATCAGAACAGCTCCCTCCTTCCCTAGTACTGGTGTCAACATCCCACAAGTTTGAATACATCTCTCCCATATCAATGTTTGAGCCATGTGTTTACCTCTTTAATCTTGCGGACTATGTGCCAATTAGCTCGTGGATTAGGTAGCTATCTGGAGATTATTACCTTTTTGCTTCTGCTTTTTAAATTTAGCCCCAGCTGCTCATATTCCCTCAGCAGAATTTCTTTCCTCTTTTTACCTATATCATACATGCCTACATGAACCACCACAACTGGACTTTTCCCTCCCACTCCAAGTTCCTCTGCAGCCCAGATGAGATACACTGAACCGAAGCATGAAGTAGGCAACACAGCCCTGATTCTGGCCACAGAGATCAGTAATTACTCTCCTGACTATACTATCCCCATTTACAACCACATTAATCTTTTCTACCCCCTCTTGAATGACTCCCTGTACCATGTTGCTATGGTTGGTTTGCTCATCCTCCCTACAGCCCCTGCTCTTGTCCACACTGGGAGCAAGAATCACAAAGCCTGTTAGACAAGCTCAAGGGCTAAGACTCTTTCAGTACTATTATCTGATCCCATGACCTGCTTTGCAGTTGAAGATTCCACATGCAAAAATGAAAGAATGTGCAAATGAACATTCTGCAACTAGAACATTTCAAAAAGGAGGCAAAGTATGAGCATTGTTTTGGCAAGGTAAGCTTCTGGAAGCAAAATTCAGTTGTCCATACAAAGTACTAAGGAGAGTTTATAAAGTGACCTATCTGATAAATACTTCTGATCGTAGGATGAAAAATCGGTTATGTCACATAATGTTAAAAATGTAGTTCTTTGCCAGAGATCAGAAATCTTCAACCTTCTTATGTTTCTTCACTGTGTACAAATCTGAACATCTCACCCTCTTTTGACTTGACGACTTAATAACTAATGTGCAGTGCAAAATCCACCTAAGTAAGAAGATTTCAGGTTTTGACGCATCTTCATTCACGTTCTTCCAAGTCTTCCAGAAAATACAGGACTTGTGCATCAGGCTTGGGCTCTTTTTCTTCCACTCCCAGGCCTACTCTCCACCACCTACAAGCCTGCCAAACCCCACCGAGATTTGGGTCCACTGCTGCCTCCTCTTGCACTTCCCATCCCAGTCCTACAGGGCATACCAAACAGAACACAGCCTCCTGGTAGGATGAGGGCAGCTCCTCTAAACCTGCTCCCATTCTTGTTATTAGGGGAGAACTTTCTCCTCCTAGGGGAAGGGAAGGCATTTTCTCATCCCTGGGAAAGTCAATGCTTGGAACTGAGAAGAACAGAATAATGGAATCATTTTAAAGAAACATAGAATCTTATAGTACAGACCAAAACCACCTGGCCTGTTGTGATTACGCTGGCTTTCTGAAAGTAGTGCCAAATTTGAATTCAATACCTCATTTTTCTCCCTGTAATCCTGCATACATTCAAAAGAATGTCCAATATAGAAAGTGGAGAAAACTGCTTCCTTTCAGAAACAGTTCAATAACCAAACTTCAGATTTCAAATACTTTGAGGGAGCTAAGGCTTTTCTCATTGGAGCAATGAAGGATGGGAGGTGACTTGATAGAGGTGTACAAGATGATGAGAGGCATAGATAGAGTGGATAGCCAGATACTTTTTTCCCAGGTCGGAAATGACTATTACAAGGGGGCATAATTTTAAGGTGATTGGAGGAAGGTACAGGGGAGATGTCAGAGGTAGGTTCTTTACACAGAGAGTGGTGGCTGCGTGGAATGCATTCCTGTCGGTGGTAATGGAGTCAGATACATTACGGACATTCAAGCGGCTCTTGGATAGGCACCTGGATGATAGTAAAATGTAGGGTATACAAGGTAGTTTCGTCTTAGAGTAGGATAATAGGTCGGCACAACATTGTGGGCCAAAGGGCCTGTACTGTGCTGTACAATGTTCTATGTTCCCAGCACAAAAAACCACCAAAACTTGCAAACGATGCATACTGGTTTGACTTGTTTTGTATACATCGGAACAGTGCTACAGTATCACCAGTACATTCATTTCTAAGTACAACTGTGTTTTTAAAAACTGTTTGTTCCCTCTGGGTTGGTAAAAAAAAAACTTGAGGGAAAATTAAGAAAATGATTTTGCAGAGGTCTTAACTTTTTGAGCTCTAAAGAACAATCTCAGCTTCAAAATGAAGTCTCTCATTCCTGGTAACATCCTGATAAACTTACTGTATACTTTTACAAGGCCTTGCAAAGAAAATCTGCAGAATCTTTTCTGATTTGTATACTAAAAATGGGTCGAATTCCTTTCCAATCCACAATTGTATTAAAATCATAGGCCATTTCTCCACCTTTGCGCTTTGACACACCCATTCAGACAATAACTGAATCTCAATACTGGACTGTGCTCCTCCAGCTCCACACTGTAGAAACTCAACACTAAGCATGCGTACAACGGCCGTCAGAAAAGCGCTAAGTACTGCGCGTGAGTATTAACTCCTCCCGGCAGGCTCCGCGGTACCAGCGTGTGCGCACTAACCACACCAGGCGGACACCTTTGCCGGTTGGTGCGCAGGCGCACTGACGCTATGAGTGGCAAGATGGAGATTTTGTCTGGAAAACAAGCCCAGAAAAGGTAAAAACAAAAGGTGCCCGGGTATGAATGTCGAGAGCAGTATGCAGATTTAATGAGAATCCGTTTCTAAAGAAGCGCAGGGTGAAAAAATATCGCTGTTTTAATGCTATTTAATATACTTCAAGGAAATAGTTTGAGAGTAGACGGTGGGGACTGGGAAAGATAGGAATGAATGATGGATCCGACTTGGAGGGTCAGGATCAACCTTTGGCGGGGAAGAAGGTTTTATCAACGAGAAACTATTGGAGTACAAAAGCCTGTGCCTTAATAATCTGAACCGGCTGAAAGCAGTTTAGTGAGTCTCTATTTTAAGTGCAAAACATGTCCCATTGGAAAGGAAGAACTTATCGATATAGCACTATTCATCCAGAATAGTAACACTTCACGGACAACTTAATTACTTTTGATGTACAATAGAAAATTTATACACAGCAAATCCCACAAACAGCATCAACCTGTGTTGTGGCCATTTGCTTTCCAAAAGGGTAAACGTTTTGAGAATTTGGAAATGTTTTGATTGTTGATAAAGTAGTTGGAAATTATGCATTAACCGGAGATGTTGCTTTGTTTGTTTATCATGATCCTTTGCTTCACAAAGCAATAGTTTATGCCTGAATTTGCTTTAGGATACAAAACCTTTTAAAGTTGTCGGGGAGATTTAAAAGAAAGTTTCATTCCTGCCAAATAAATAACAATATTGTCTCTTAACATGGAGATTTCTTCAAAGTCAGTGACAAGTTTGCTGACCACAAAATCCAGAAAATTTGGAAATTGTTTGGTTTGCTATAGTTTTTCTACTCCTTTTAAAAGAGCTATATAATTTGCCTCACTCCAGCTTTTTCCTTAAAGTACTTTTTAGTTTAATTCTTCACGCCAGTTGATCTTAAAGTTCCTAAATAATCTAATTTCACTACCCTTTCAGTTAGTACATTTCCAGATGTTTTTTAAAAAGCCTCAGTTAAAAAGTTTCTCCTAATTTCTGTTCTTTGTTTTGCCAATTATTATAAGCCTATGACCCAAGTCTACTAATTCTCTTGTCAGGTGAAAATTTCTTCCTTCTCACCCTACTAAAACTCTTCATAATTTTGAATAATTCAAAGTTGCTTAGTATTTAGTTGCATTCCTGAAAAGTGCAACCATAAGTGAAACAATGGTAAGCAATTCAGACTTTTCTCTCACAACCAATGTCAAAGGGACTTGTGTACAAACTTACTCAGAAAAAATAAAGCATTTTGTCTTGTTAGTTCAAATACTGTAATTACCAAATTCTTTTATTTGTAAATTAATCATCTTTCAAAGTAAAAATATGAAAGAAATATGTTGACTGTTCTTGCCTTCTGCTCACCAAACCTACCACTCATCGCTTTGCTTCCCCCCTGTGTCTGAGGGCTTTGGAGTGAGATAGTCAGGGGGAGAATGTAGTAAATGGGTGAACTGCAGCAAGCAGGTATATCAAGCAAGAAAGTGAAGACCAGGAGGGTTTTGGCTAGCAATAAAAAGGCACCAATTTAGGAATAAAAACTTGCCATCTCTTCACACACACATCAAAATGGTCAAATCATGCCATGCTACCTGAGCACCAGCATGGACAAATCCTGAAGTGGATGGCCCAGTGCTAGGTGCATGCACAGGCTCCATTACATCTGCTCTGTTGAAGTGGTAAGAGGGAACTTAAATTTGAGACTTACTGCACCTCTATTATCCAGAGTTCCTCCTTAACCTTTGGTCTTAAGTTGAGTAATCTCAGTTTATCCAGGTGACTAAGGGTCTGCCAATCTTCAAAAATTAATATGACCCACCAGATTAATTTCTCTTCAATGTTTCATTGGCTCTCATTGTTGAATTGTCTTGAAATTTTGCTTTGTGACACCCCAGTGAACTCTTATAATACTATATTGTCCTTCCTTCAGTAATGCTGGATCAAAATCCTAGAATTGCAGATGGCACTGTGGGAGTATCTACATCACGTAGACTGCAGCAGTTCAAGATGGTGAATTCACCTCCTTCAGAGCAATCAACCATTGGCAATCAATGCTTTCATTGCCCTTAATGCCCATGTCCTATGAGTGATTTTTTTGTTTAAATTTTGACGTCCACGACTTCAACTGCATTACCCTCATCAACTCACTCTCTTAGTTAATCAACAAAACTGAAGTCAAGTTCATTAAGCATGATTTGTCTTTGATGAATTCCTGCTGGCTTTTTCTAATTAATGCACAGTTGTCCAAGTGACTGTTAATTTTGACTGCAGTATTATTTCCAACACTGCTTACAACACCAACCTTAAACTGACTGGCCTGTAAAGTTTATTGTACAACCTTTTCTTTGAACAATATTGTTTCACTTGAAATTATCCACTTTCCTGACACCATTGCTGTTTCTAAAGAGGATAGTAAAATTAAGGTCAGTTCCTCTCCAATTTTCACCCTTACTTCCCTCTGCATACGCAGCTGCGTTCCTGTCAGGTTGTGGTGATTTTTCAACTTTAAGTACTGTCTGCCTTTCTATCAGTTTTTAGCCCATCCATTATCTCAGCTACCTTCAGCATTTTCCGTGATTAAAAATAGATGCAAAAAGTAATTTATTGCCTCAGTCAGTCCATCATCTTCCATGCACATCTCCTTTGGTCTCCAATCTACACTCCTTCAATTAATTATTATTTTAAATTATCCTTACCTTTTACCATCACTTACCTAAACCTTATGATACTATGATCATTCTTTATTCAATGTTTCCCTAATGAATTTGATCCATTCAATCTACCTCATTGCTAACCAGATCCAGAAATGTGTTGATCAAGAAAGATTCCCTGAACACAGATCAAAAACCTTTCCCCTCCCTCTTACCTTTAAATGATTACTATTCTAATTTGCATTAGGATTATGAAATTTCCATATCACTATTCTATGTTTTTGAACCACTCTTTAATTTCCCCGTAACATTGCAGTTTCATATTGTTACCCAGGAGTCCTGTTTTCCCACAAGTTCTGTATGCAGTTTTAAGAATGTTTTCACCTTACTTGTCCGTTACTCTGTATTTTTCAGTATCTACATTATGGAAGATTGAAGTCACTTAGTTAATGCTGTGTAACTTTAGGTTTCTCTGAAATTTTCCTACAAATTTGTTCCTCTGTCCTTGCTGGGATCTAGATATTTTTAACCAGCCTGTTTAGAAATGTTCTTGCAAGCCTCTGGAGCAAATGGGACTTGAACCCAGGCCTCTTGACTGAGAAGTAGGGACATTACCAGTCTGCCACCAGAGCTCCAACTATCCAGACCTACAGGAAACACTTTAAACTATTGTGAACAATTTAACAACTCCCTTCATATTCCTTGATTTTGGTGAATTGATGGTCTTTGCAAAGGTAAGTAAATCTGCAGATGCTTCAACTTTCCTTTATTATTAAGATCCTTCTTTTGTCCCTCTTTAAAATGTAATCATTAGAATGATCCAGTCTAGAAAGAGGATATTTGATTCATTGTATCTGTTCCAGCCCTTTGTAGAGCAATCCAGTTGATCATACTACTTTGCTATGCCCTGTGGCTACTTAAATGTTTCCCTTTCAACTGTATATTCAATTCTCTTTTAAATGTTGCCATTAATTCTGCTTCCACTGCCCTTTTGGATGATGCATTCCAGCTCATAACTTGTATAAAAAGATGTTTCCTCATGCCTCTGAGTCCAAACAGGTGGCAGTTCAGTATTGGCTATGTCACACTTCTTCAAATTTTAGTTCAGATATTTTCATACTTGCTTTTATATGCTTCCATAGCCTTCTACTTCCCTTTCTTCATAATCTCCTGTAACTCCAGTGTTCTGGGATAACTGCATCTACCAATTTTATTCTCTTGACAATCCCATCCCTCCCCAATTTAATTACTCCATTAGTAGTGGCCGTGCCTCCAATTCTCAAGGCACGAAACTCTACAATTTCCTCTTAAACCAAGCTTTTGGTTGTCTTCTAGTATCTCCTCAGTGTCTACCTTTGGTTTATATTGATCTGTGAAATGCTTCAGGACATTTCATGAATTAAAAGGCACTGGATAAATATAAGTTGATACTTTTTGTTTTAGCAGAGGGTGTTAAGGGGAGATTAATAGAGGCCTTTGTTTAAAGCACCATTTAATCTCAATCATAGGAAGAAACTGTCTACATTGCCAGATGGTTGGTAACCACAGGATACTGATTTTAAGACAGTCTGCCAAAACGCCTGAAAAAATGTATTTTATGTAGCAAGATATGTTCTATAAATGTCTGGAAGAGTGAGTCAGATTCAGTAGTAATTTTCAAAGAGAATTATTTGAAAAGGAGAATTTTGTATGGCTACGGAGAAAATGGAAGGAAGTGCGGCTAATTGGTAATGGTAGCTGTTCACTTGCAGCGTGCTTTGAGCATGTGCAAACTGTTTTCAAACTTTGCTTCTCCGTTCTGAAATGCAGTTATTCACCTCTACTGTCCGTGCGGTTAACATTTCAAACTGTTTTTCCTATATGGTACCATCTGTAATAAATTTGCTACTTTCATTTCAGCACATGTTATAATACAAAAGGTTGAACAGTGTTTATTCTCATTGCACAAGCACCAATCAATGGGTATTGGAGGAACTACAATGTCTGCTTGTATAACCATTTTACAGACTTGTACTGAAAATAATAAAGCAGCATTTTCTTCTAGAAAATTTTTTTTTAAATTTAACACTTAACTTGTGAATCTATAATAGTTACACTTTGGAGCATTTCCATAATTAGCATAATTTTCAAATTACTTGGGTGACGTTGACTTTGTATTTACCTTTGTGTAATTAACAATGCATTCTTCATTAATGAAATCTCTTTTTTTCGAGCAGTGTAAAAATTGCTGCTGGAGCTGTTGTCTGTGTTGAAAGTGAAATCAAGGGAGATGTAACTATTGGTAAGTGATCTTCAATGCATGATTAGTGATTTTAGGGATAATTCAGTGCCTGGTTCTGGTAAATTCATTTAGCAAGTAGTAGTCGGTAGCTATCAATGAAAATCAACAGATTACTTCAACAGATCAAAGTTGAGTTTGAGGGACTATGAAGTATCTAATTGAACAATAAAGCTTAGGTTGAGTTTGACTGGAGCAGTGCTTTGAGTCAAGGACGGAAATATCAACGTGGGTCAAGTGGATAGTTAAGATGACTGGAGGCTCCGGGTCATGCTTGTGGACTCTTAACAAATGTGAATTCATTTTAGTCTAACTTTCTGGATTGTTAATGCCATACTGTAACCACTGTGCTACCATTTTCAACTACTCCCAATTCCTCCACCTGTGCCGTGTCTGCTCCCAAGATGGGGCGTTCTGCTCCCAAACATCCCAGATGTCCTCTTATTTCAAGGACTGCAACTTTCCCCTTCGGTGGTCGCAAATGCTCTCAACCACATCTCTTGTGTTTCCTGCACTTTTGCCCTCACATCCCCTTTCCCCAACAAAAATAAAGACAGAATTGCCCTTGTCCTCACATATCACCCCACTAATCTCCATATCCAACGTATCATTCTCTGCCACCTACAATCCGACCCCACAACCAAAGATGTATTTCACTCCACACCCCTATCTGCCTTTTGTAGGGACCACGCTCTCTCCGACTCCCTCGTCCACTCCACATTCCTTACTAGCCCCGGCACCATTCCCTGCAACCGCAGGAAGTGCTACACCTGCCCCTACACCTCCCTCCTCACCTCCATTCAGGGCACCAAATTAGCCACATTCCACATTAGACAGAGGTTCACCTGCACATCCGTCAATGTGGTCTATTGCATCCATTGCTACCGATGTGGCCTCCTCTATGTCGGCGAGACCAAGCGGAGGCTCGGAGACTGCTTTGTAGAGTGCCTGCGCTCTGTTTGTGACAAATGACAACACCTTCCAATCACAAACTATTTCAACTCTCCCTCCCACTCTCTGGGTGACATGTCCATCCTGGGCCGCCTCCAGTGTCACAGTGACACCACCTGCAAACTGAAAGAGCAGCACCTCATATTCCGCCTTGGGAGCCTACAGCCCAATAGCCTAAATGTGGATTTTACCAGTTTCAAAATCTCCCCACCCCCGGCCTCATCCCATGACTAACCCTCCCCCTCATCCCCACCTCCTTGATCTGACACAACCTGTCCATCTTTTCTCCCACCTATCCACTCCTCCCACCTCACTAACCAATCCCAACCACTCCCTATCTGCACTCCCCTATCTTCCCCAGCCCCCCCCCCCTCTCACTATTTTTTTCTGAGCCCCCCCCCCCCCCCCCCAAAACTCCCTCCCCAATTTCTGAAGAAGGGTCCTGACCTGGAACATCAACTTACCTGCTCCTCTGATGCTGCCTGGCCTGATGTGTTCCTACAGCTCCACACTGTGTAATCTCTGACTCCAGCATCTGCAGTTCATACTATCTCTTTTGATCTACATTGGCTCCTGGTTTGCCAGTATCATCAATTTTTGATGTGTTCACCCTTGTCTTCAAATCCCCTCTGGCTAACTTCTCCCTACAGGTGGCCTCCTGCAGCTCTAACCCTCACCGAAAACTCTGTTCTTCCACTTTCGACCTCCTGTGCATCCTCTACTTTTGACTCAGCATTGGATCTAGACAGCTGAAATTCTGAAATCCCTTCTTAAGCCTCCCTGCACCCAGACACCTTTGTCCTCCATTTAATATCCTGCATTAAATTCCCACTTATACGATGGCTGCAAAGTAGCAGCACAGCATGCGGGCTCCTTAACCTAGGAGCCTGGAGCTCACCTCCATCTGTTTTCTCTCTCTCTCTCTGTGTCTCTGCTTTTTTTTAATGTTTACATTATTGTTATTATCAAGATTCACCTTGCCTTCTTTTAACGGCTTTGGCGGAAGGCTTCTCCCATCCCAGCGATGAGGACGCTGAGAAACCGTCCATAATTTTCCTATCCTCTTTAGAAAAAGAAACAGTGCCAGGAAAGAGGATAATTTCAAGTGTTCAAAGAAAAGGTTGTACAATAAACATAACAGGCCAGTCAGTTTAAAGTTGGTGTTATAAGAGGTTTTAGAAATAATACTACAGTACAGAATTAACAGTCACTTGGACAATTGTGGATAAATTAGAGAAATCCAGCAGGGATTCAAAGCCAAATCATGCTTAATGAACTTGACTTCAGATTTTTAAAGAGCGAATTGATGATGTTATGGAGAAGAGGTCAAACCCCTCTGATGATTAAAACCAAAACACCCAGAGAAGCTCGCCTCATCTCATAATCTGCTAAAGGATTTGGAAAAAATGGTATGACCAGCCTTTCACCTCCAATCTGTTCTAAAGGAGAGGTTAAATGAAATGAAATCCTTTCACTTGCTCTAGAAGCAACAAGTAGCATTTTATTTATTGAACGCTAACAGTGAACAAATTAAAAGACCTACTGACAAACTGAACAATTCCCCCTTAACTACTACCTAATCCTGAATAAAACAAATTCTAATGATATGCTGTTCAAATAAATAGAAGTCCTATTTATGTAAACTAAAACTTAGAGTCTCAAAACTACAGTCAGGATGTGTTAATGTTTCGGGTCCGGTGACCCTTCCTGAGGACCTGAAACGTTAACTCTGTTTTCTCCTTCACAGATGCTGCCAGACCTGCTGAGCTTTTCCAGCAACTTTGTTTTTGTTCTTGATTTACAGCATCCGCAGTTCTTTTAAGTCAGGATGTGTTCCCTTCGGGAATGCTCCTCACCCTCTCCGCTGATCCTCAGCCAGAAACACCTTTCTCCGTCAGATTCTGGTGTTCAAAATGCCTCTTTCCATAGAATTCTAATGTCAGGAATATCAGCTGAGTGTGTCGTGGTACTTTTAGATGATGCTTAATCAGACAGTTTAAAGATTTCCGAGAGCCAGAGTTTTACTCTTCTGATGGCAGTTTGCTCTCTTCTTCTATAGCCTTGATGACCTGTCAATTTTCTTATAATAGGATTGGTCCTAGGTTGTCAACACAATCAAATTTAAATTCAATTGGTTTTCAGTCTCTAAGTACCTGGTTTAAGTTAATTGGCTGATATTCAAGCTTGTTGCCTTAATATCAAAACAAGCCTAGATTTCCAACCACACTGCCAGCTAATACATATGTTTCAATTTCTGAACTGTATGTACATCTGCAGCTGCTTACAGACATTTTTGTCTAAATCTTCAAGCTTAGAAAAGCGCATCACCTCTTAAAGGAACTACAGTCTTTTTTCCACCCCCGCACTCCCCCATCATTTTTACAAACAAATTCTAACTTGCCTTCTAATTCACAAGTACTCTATATAACTTTGCAACAATGAGGGTTAATGCAGTTAATGTACATAGACATTTTTAAAAGTTCACTCATGGGACATGGGTATTGAGGGCAACGACAGCATTGACTGCCGTGAAGAAGTTGAATTCACCATCTTGAACTGCTGTAGTTCATGTGATGTAGTACTGCCACAGTGCAGTTTGCAATTCCAAGGTTTTTATCCAGCATCAATGAAGGAACAATGAAAACAGAAATTGCTGGAAAAGCTCATCAGGTCTGACTGCATCTGTGGAGAGAAATCAGAACGTTTCGGGTCGAGTAACCCTTACTCAAAATAAGGAAGGACAATATAGTTTCAGATCAGAATGGTGGATAATGTGATATATACATGGACTTTCAAAGCCTTTTGATAAAATTTCACATAATGCTGAAGCCATGAAATTAAGGTGACAGGACAGAATGGACTTGAAGTTGGTAGCACAGCATGGTGATCTTTTCTCAGCGTGGAGATCTCGTCCCCGTGTGGATGTCTTTGGCACCGGCTTCCGGATATTCCAGTGGCCCGACACGATGGTCGTCTTCGAGGCAGGCTTCCTGCCCTGTATTCCAGTGGCCCGGTGTGGTGGTCTCATCCTGGCTGCATCTTCCGGGTGTTCCTTAGTTGGCTTTCCCCAAACCCAGGAGTCGTTAATGCAACTGTGATGAACTTTGTCTTCCCTTTTACTGTTTTTTTTTTTATGTATGACTTCTGTCATTAATATAGGCCCCGTGGTAGGGCAACTTATAAAACTTGTCACGTGTACTTTTACATGAAAAATAAACTTCTATTCAACTCTAATCACTTTGATCAATATTTTGATTCTGTATTCAATCAGTTTGCTTGCTTGGTGTCAAATTCTGTCTGTTAAAAATGATATAAGAATCCAAGTCGTTTGTACATTAGGAATGTTCATTAGGATGCCAGGATAGTGTTTTATTGATTAATGTTTCTTTCCTCATTAGTCTGAAAAGAAAGTGGGGCAAGTAGATTGAATTCAGTCGATCATCACTGAGCTAACATTGACTGCAACACGATTTAAAGTAATTATGGAGAACACCTAAAAAATATCAAAGCTCAGAATGCAAAATTTAGAAAATCTGATTTTGAGTGATTTTAAGAAAGAACCTTGCACTGCAGAATAAAACAAATGCAGCAATGGAGGGAATTCAGGGAATAATCTGTTAAAGGGAAAAGAAAGATAGATCTTTCAAAGCTATTATGTCTTTGCAATTTTTATTTCTTTTGACTTCAATGAAACAGGAAAATCTTACAACAAGTATCAGGAGCAAAACTCAGTTAATAACTAGGAAGATTATAGAAAGTATAAAAAGTTGAGAAATGTTAATATGGGAGGCAAGGAAAGTTACAGTCTTGCATTAGCAGGCAATATAATGTCAAAACTAGAACAATTTATAAATGTATAAGACTGGACTTTGCTGTATTGGTTACGGAGGTTATCAGTGACCTCAGCTATTGCTGGGTAGAACTGGCAGCAAGTTGTGATGAGTAATTTATGTATGTTGCTAAACATAAAACCCTGGAAATTTTTGTTCATGGTGCGCCCCCCTCCTCTAACAAAGACAGCAAAAGTAGAGACTGTAATGAATTTGGCTTGGCAATAATAACACTGTAATAGTGTGAACTTGGATTAATTATGCATTACAACAAAATTTTGTTCATTCAGGAATAACTGGATTTAAATGCCATGGTTATTAGTGCTGAACAGCCTCTCTGACCCTGGAAGAAAATTTTTTTTTTTTTTTGTGGAGTCAGTTTAATATTTCCTGATAGTGTAACCTTATAGTTTTGTTGTTCTAGGATTTTTGTACCTTGTCCTATGCCTCTGCATCCTTTTTAATATGCTGAAAGCAAGAATTGTTCACAGGTGTGGATTAACTAAGTCTTTAGGCATGCTAAGCATAATAATGCTTCTTTTTCAATATTTTGCCTTTAAAGAAAATCTTCAGTATTTCATTGTTATTTTTATGGTCTCATGCGCATTACTACTATTAAAGAATTGTGTATCTGCAATCCTGCACCACCTATCACATTCAGATGCTTAATGTCTACATGTTATATAACTAAAATGATAGTCAACAAAATGAATCCAAATCTTACAATAATATTTCATGAGGTAGATTGACGGAACTCAATATTAGGAGATGAGGAAGACAGGATTTGTCACTGGTAACTTCATGGCAAAAAAATTAGATGTTACTATCTTTTTCTTTCCCAAATAATATTCTTACCAACTGAAATTCATAGAATGGGCAAATTAACTGAAATAATTACTGTCATCTTTGTTTACAAGGAAGTCATTCACACCTCCTGTCTGGAACTCAACTGTTTTTGTGGGGTATATCCTAAAGTAGTTATGGAGTAATTCACAGTATTAATTACATTTCTGTACTGCTTAGGACCAAGGACTGTAGTGCACCCCAAGGCTCGTATTATTGCAGAAGCAGGACCAATCATTATAGGTGAAGGCAACCTGATTGAAGAACAAGCTCTTATTACAAACAGGTGGGCATGTGATTAAATGCTTAATGGATATTTCCAAATAAAGGTATTTGAAGTGTAACAGAAAATAATTGGAATAATTTTGTTCCTATGGTGCTTATGAAATAAATAAATACTATTTGTATGTTTGCAATATGCTTGTCTGTCTGTCAGTACTGATGAGCAGAAGTTTCGCCCAGCCAAATATTGGGAAGACTGAAGCCATCATCTTTGAACTTTACAGCAAATTCTGTTTCCTTTCTACCAACACCATTTACTTTTCCTGGCAAGTGTCTGAAACTAAACCAGACATTTTGTCTGTTTAGCACAGAGATGAGTTTCCAACTATAGCTCTGCTCTATCACCATTTTTTGAAATGAAAGCTGAAATTGAATTTCATGCAGTTTTCCTCAGGCTTAGGTCAATTTGGAGTCTAGGTCTGTTCAGAAGACTGGATCGAACTGACCTGTCTCTTAAATGTGTCTCATCTGCTTAACGTTCCCTTCTATAACAACAATCTTCCATTCCTACCTCAGCTCATCTGCTGAAATACTGACTTTAGCCTCGGTTTCCTTTCAGATATTCCAGTAGTCTTTGACAACTGTTCATCTTCCATTCTGTATAAACTTGATCTCATGCAAAAATACGTGTCCTTATTTGTACCAAGTCCCATTCACCCATCATCCCTGTTTTTGTTGACCTATGCTGGCTCCTGATCCGGCAATTCCTAATTTAAAATTCTCACTCCTGTTTTTAAAATCTGTTAATAGCATCATCCCACCTTTTTCACTGTAACCTCTTCTGAATCATCCAATTCTGGCCACTTCTGTCACTCCCAGTTTTAATCTTCCCATTTTAATGGTCATGCCTTCAGCTGAATATACCCTGAAGTCAGAAATTCTCCTCTTAAATCTTTCTGCTTTTGTCTTCACCCTTAAAATACCCCTACTCGTTTGGCCAAGGTTTTGAGCATCCATTTGTATACTACTTTTGTTGCTTGGTGTCTAATTAAGAAGTTGTGAAAGCCTTGGGATATTTTACTATGTTAAAAGACTGCAAGTTGGTCTTCTGACTTTTTATAGTTATGGTACTTGACTTTTATTTTGTCTCTACATGTCACTGGAAAGCTGGAAAAGAAACTTCTTTAAGTTCATAATGGTGAAACCAAAGTGTGATATATCTGTTCACAGCTTTGAAATTTTTTTGGCAATCTGTGACTAGCCTTAATTATATATTACAATGTACCGTACAGAAAGCAAAGACCAAATGTAGAATGTGGGTCAAGCAATTTTGGAGGGTGGAAGACAAATTGAACACAGGCAGATGAGTGGAATTGGCACCTGGAATGGTGAAATGGGGATGGGGGAAAGAAATGAGGAATCCTCTTGTAGAAGAGGGGAATAGAGGGTATTAGAAAGAATAAATGAGTGTGGCCTGTTCTTTTCAGTTAATGTGGAGGTTGTTAGATTTTAATGGTCATGGGACGGTTTTACTACAGTTAAGGAAATGTAAAAGTAGTCGTGGGCCAAATTCCCACTAAGCCCTTGGAGCAGATTCAAGGCATTATTATAGACCTTTGTGATAAATAAACCATGCGCATGGCTGCACAAAGAAATTTTAAGGGACCAGGTCCTGCGGTGAAAAAAAATAAGTTTTGCACTATAACTAAATTTTGAAGGGAATATTTCTTAGAGGACTTTTAGGTTGCTTAACAGTGGTGGGTGGCAGAGAGTGGCTATTCTGGTGAACAAAAAGAGTCCAGTTATTTTATGGTGATCTCGGTGAGTCACATTGCATGTACTGAGAAACACCAGGGCAGAATTTACAGTAACTGGGTGAATAAAAACTGGCTGGCATGGATTAGAGATAGTAGGAACTGCAGATGCTGGAGAATCCGAGACATGGATTAGCTTTGCTCACCCTTGCCCTTTGGTTTCCATAAACGTCTCAACTGCACTTTGCAGTAAATGGAAACAATCCCCCTCAAGAGCATCTGGTATTGTATGAATTGGGCAACAATAACGTATATCTATAAGCAATCAGTTAAAAGCATAAATCTAAAAACAGCGCTGTGTCTGATACAGTGAAAATTAAAATAATGAATGTCAAACCCAGTGCATTCGGTGAGCTGAAGAATGTGAAGGAAAGAATGGATTAAAAGAGAAGGATTAAAGAAAACATAATTTAAAATCACAAGTAGTTATTCAAAATTGAATTGTCAAAAAAGGAATGAGACTCCATACTTTCAGTGCCAGAGAAGTTGTTTGGCATTAACTAACCCTTATGCTCAAAGGGCACAAGCTGAATTGGACAAGTCAAAACGTCTTATGAGGAATTTAGTTTGTATCTACAACCAAAGTATTCATGTAGTTTAATACAACTGAATGCAGAGTCTGATGGTGAGCTACTATTTTATGCAGCTTTCAAATAAGCAAAGCATCTGTCGTTAGTAACTAGTCTTTGTTTTGCATGTAACTGCTCTTACCATAAGTTACTGGCTAAATACCTTGCATGTATAATAGCACTACCAGTATACATTAAATTCTAACCAATTACCATGTTGAGAGTGGCTGTTAGAACCAAAGATGACAAAAGGATGAAATTTTTTTTTTGTTGTGATGTAAATTGGACTTTGGTTTAATCCCAGAATTCTTTTAATGTTTTCTTTTCGTGCAATGTGAACATCACTGACAAGGCCAACATTTGTTGCTTATGCCTAATTATTCTTCAAAAGGTTGTGGTGTATCACCTTTACAAACTGCTGCGGTCCATCTGCTGTAGGTGTATTCAGACTGTTATAAGAGAGTTCCAGGATTTTGACTCACTGACTGAAAGGAACTGCACTATAATTCCAAAGTCAAATAGGCTAGCACATCAGCTTTAATAAAGCTTTTAGCTGGACCCAGATGGCAGACTGGCTAGAAAAGTAAAACACTGGGACTCTAGAGAAAGCACCAAAATTGGTTTAGTGGCAAATGTACATGTACAGATTCACTATATTTCATTGATTTAAAAACTGCTCCAAATAGCATACATAGACAATGTATTTCACGTAAGGAGCCCAGCCCATCATGCCTGCACCAACTGAGAAACAGCTATATATCCTAATCCCATTTTCAAACAAATAGTCATTGCCTTTCCACTCTGACTGACTAACCTCTAACAATTTACTTACCTCTACCAAATAGTCATTCTGTTTATTCCAAAGAAGACAACTAGTACTTATCTCTGTGTAACCTCTTCCAGTCATATAACATTGTCACTACTATCTTTTGCTTCCTGTCCTTGCTTAATGTGTCAGCTTCATTCAGTCTTTTCACTCAGTCTTTTCATTCAGTTTTCCTCCTTGCCTCCTTGAAGCACTTCAGGACAGTGTATTAAAAGTGAGTGATTGAAATGAAAATTGCACTTTTGTTTTCAACAAGTAGGCCCTTGCTTTCTAGTTTTTAATAAAAATGATTAATTATTGTTTCTTCCAGCTATCCAGAAAACCTTGTGCCTCAGAAGGAAGATATGGAACCTAAAGTTATGACTATTGGAACAAACAATGTTTTTGAAGTTGGATGTCGTATCCTTTCCTGCAAATAATTCGCAATGAAACTTCCTGTAAGAATATAACCATTGGCAATCTTAAAAAAAATCACCAGATGGTTTTATTTTCAGTATGAAACCATAATCTTGTGGAACAGAAGCTAATATCAGGAATGTTTTGATATCGCATCTGTTCTCTCACATCCTGTAGTTGTATTAATTTGAAGATATTTGATTACTGTAATTTAGTTCAAGATAGTTATTTCCAGCAAGTCCACAGTTCTTTTTCAGCTTGATCATTGCCATGATGGTTTTATATCTAATTGAACGCTAAGTGGTACCCTTTTAATTAAAATTGGTAAAACTTCAGTGATTGAAGTGAATTACTGCTCAACAGATACTCGGAACATTAACTTTGTCCTGTTGTTTAGAAATCTTAAAAATTAGCTTCTGGTTAGTCTTTTTTTTCCAGGACATTTGGAGATTTTGCTAAATGTTACCCCAAAAGTAGATTCACTTCTTGAATTTTGGATCAACTTTAAAACATTGGTAACTCAATATTGTGAATGACAAGCAGGAAACTATGGTTTTACATAAAAGTATCTGTGAATTGTCTCAGTTTTAAAATTATTCTAGTGTCAAGATTCTGAAAAAGTATCATTGTTCATTAATTATGCTTTTAAAGAATCTACATCTTGCATTGTTATTTGTTCAGTACATTATAAGTAATGAAATCAAGGAAAAACTGTGCAGAGAAATTCAGTCATTATTATTTTCAGTGGTTGTACAGTATACTTTGATCTGAAAACAAATCTGTGTCCTCCTTACCAAGGACCTCTGTAAACATAGTATTGTCCTGTTCACTTCATATATATCTCTTGCTCTTTCAGCTGTTTTGCAATTCT